CAGAGGCTCAACCGACTGAGCCATCCAGGCACCCCAGAAATATCACTTTTGATAGACTGTCAACATTACCCGATAAATGTGGCACTGATCTTTAACCTGAGAACTCTCTGGAACCATTAAAGAGATCCTGGAGACTGCTCAGTCTGTGGGCTGCAATGTTGATGGCCACCACCCCCATGACATCACAAATGACATCAATAGTGGTGCAATGGAATGCCCAACTAGTTAAGAACTACAAAGGAAAATATTTGACAACGAAAGAAAAGAGAAAGAAAGCAGGGAACATGGAAGGAAGGAAATATTGGTAGCTTTAATATGGGTCAGATTATTAAGGATAATTAAGCCGCCTGAGTAGCTCAGTTAAATGTCAGACTTCAGCTCGGGTCATGACCTCGTGGTTCGTGAGTTTAAGAGCACAGCATCAGGGTCTCTGAGGTCAGCTTGGAGCCTGCTTTGTATCCTCTGCGCCCCCACCCACAATTCTCTGCTTGCTCCCTCTGCTGCTTGCTCTCTCTCAAAACTAAATAAACATTAAAAAATAAAATAAAATTCTTCAAGGGAACCAATTTGCTAATCACTAAGGGGAAAACTATCCTGTTTGCTGGTGCCCCCTTGTGATAAAACAGCAGGTCTACAGTGGGGATTATAAAGCTTTAAGATTCAAGTATCTGAAGGAGATCTTCATTTACTTTCATTAATGGTTGGACTGTACACTGAGAACTAGCTACCAAAATGATAAAAGGAGTTAAAGCAGTGATGTTTAAGGGTGGGCCATAAAATTCTCAGTATTTCCTCCCCAACCCCTGAATCATCTAAAATGAAATTATATTACGAAGTAAAAATAACAAAAACACTACTATTTACTACCACAGTTAATTAATAATAAGCAGAACTAGTTTAAAGTTTTTGGACAGAATGACCTAGAGCCTCAACATGATGACCTCTCTTTTAGTAAATTTTTTTTTTCCAATAGTTTATTTTAAGTGATCTTTACACCCAGTGTGGGGCTTGAACTCACAACCCAGAGATCAAGAGTTGCATGCTCTACTAACTGATTCAGCCAGGCATCCCCCTCTTCTAGAAATCCTTATTGAATTCAGGGGGAAGCCCAAATGATCTTTAAGTTTTCCTATTATTTTGTCTCATGCTGTTTAAGAACTTAAAAAAAAAAAAAAACCCACAAAGATTAATAAGCAGGCAAATCCACAACTGTTTTCCTAACTAGCATTTAGGAAGCCTGCTAAATTATGGAATCTCTAAAAAGGTTTAACAGATATTCTAAAAGGCAGTATTGGGGTGCCTGGGTGGCTCAGTCGGTTAAGCATCCGACTTTGGCTCAGGTCACGATCTCACGGTTCATGGGTTTGAGCCCCATGTATGGCTCTGTGCTGACAGAGCCTGGAGCCTGTTTTAGATTCTGTGTCTCCCTCTCTCTCTGACCCTCCCCTGCTCACACGGTCTCTCTCTCTCTCTCAGAAATAAATAAAAACACTTAAAAAAAAAAAAAAAGGCAGTATTGAATGGGGGGAAGATCATGAACTCTGGAGCCAAATGCCATTTACTCTCCAGTGACCTGAGACAGTTACTTAGCCTGTCTGTGCTTCAATTTCCACAGCTGTATAATAGTGATAGTATTACCTGATTGTCAAGAGAATTAAATGACTGACTGTATAATTAGTTAAGTGTAAACTGCTTTTAACAGTGCCTAGCATGTGTAGGTTGTATACACATTTAATAAGTTAATGCAAACATTTTTAAATGTCAGTGAGTTTACTAAGTGTTATGTTAAGAAGTTTTTGTAGGGATGCCTAGCCGGCTCAGTTGGTGGAGCATGTTGACTCTTGATCATGGGGACATGAGCTTGAGCCCCATATTGGGTGTAGAGATTACTTAAAAATTCAAGAAAAAAAAAAAGAAGAAGAGTTTTTGTATAATATTCATTCTCTTATTCAACATTCTTACCCTTCAGGATTTTTACTAATAATTATTTCTACTAAGCCTAAAGAAGTTAAACTTATGGTTAATTAAGTATATATTTAGGGAGGAGTAAGCTAAATTTCTAAGAAGATGGTGTTTAGAGAAGTTTATAAGATGATCTCTGATGATGTCATATGCCATGCCCATTAAGAAAGAGTTCTTCCTGAACCCATCTTCCCCTATATGGAGCCTTGAGGGATGCTGACTGTGGTCTAGTGAGGAACCCGGGTATAAATGGATGTGTGTATGGTTTTAGAATATGAACATGAATTCTTAGATGCTCCTCCCTTCAAAAGGTGGAGCTTAATCCTCTCCTCATTGAGTGAGGGATGGACTTAATGACTTGCTTCTAAGAAATAAAATGAAGCAGAAGTGACAGTGTGCAATTCCAGAGACAAGGTCCTTCCTCACTTGGATGTGAAGGAGGCTGAGGGAAGGCGTCTGCCATGTGATGAGGAGACCCACCAGCCCTAGGGAGAGGCTCACATGGTCCATCTGGTAAGTGGACCATCCAGCCCCAGTCAAGTCTTCAGATGACTGCAGGTCTGATTGACTGAGAAACATCATGAAGGCACACTGAGCCAGAAGCACCAGTTGAAGTACTCCTAGATTTGACCTGCAGAAAGCATGTAAGGTAAGAAATGTTCACTGGATTCAGTTGCTACATCTTGGGATAATGTTCTACATAGCAGAGGTAAGTATTATAGTGTGTGTTCATGGATCATTAAGAGAGCAGTGTAAAGTACCCTTTGTGGACCTGATACTATCCAACCGGTGAAAATCTATCATCTTGTCCCAAGAGCTATCACCACATTGCAGTAAGATGCTGTGATAAAATGGTTTCTTTCTTCTCCCTGCCCTGTTGCGACTATTTTTGTCACAAGCATGTCCGGGTTTGTCCTACCATTAGCATAATTGCCTAGAATGCCTGTGATGAAGCTGGAGTGCAGGCTCAGTGCGAGACTACTGGTAAGAGAAGGTGGCAGCCTGGCTATGGAGAAACCCAACAGAGCGAAGTTTCATAATATACTGTCCGTGCTTTGGTTCTTTGTCCTGAAGTATCAGAAACTGTTATTTCATCAGAATATTCAGAATTCATAGACTAACTAGACAGACTTGGGGGCCAAACTATACAAATTAAATTCACATGAGACTAATGTATAAATCAAAAGCTTCTCTATATGTAGAGGCGCATGGGTGGCTCAGTCAGTTAAGCAACCAACTCGATTTCAGCTCAAGTCATGATCTCAGTTTGTGAATTTGAGCCCCACATCAGGCTCTGTGTGCTGACAGTGCAGAGCCTGCTTGGGATTCTCTCTCTTTCCCTCTCTCTCAACCCCTTCCCCATTTGTGTGCGTACTTTCTCTCTCTCAAAATAAACAAATAAACATAAAAAAAAAAAATTTGCTACATGTAGAATGGAATTCTGGTACTCTCAGCCAGAGTCCCTCCCTTTCCTGAATGATAGCTTGGAGGTCAGATGAGCAAATCAGAAGGTGGTTCAGTTAAGCTTGTAATTAGAACCCAAAGCTGTGAGTCTCTAGGTATGTTCTCCTCAAGCCATGGCAAGTCTTGATAAACCGATACTAGCTAAAGAGAACACTTCCGGTCACTAAACTGCTCACATGTCTTGGATTCAGTACCTCCCTTCCAGGGAGAACACTATATGTACACAGTCATATTGTTTCTCCAAACTCTTGACAAATTGACTCTTTCTGATCACATTTTCTCCTCAAATGAGATAGTATCACTTAAAAACCACAGTGTACCTAGGAAACACAGGTTTACCTCCCCACATGCTGACTTAATTAGTTTAACTCTCTGGGGTATCCTATTACCAAATCCTTGGGAGGTGTCTCACTGTTGTCTTCACGTATTACCTGTACAGTTTGGAACAGAGGACATTTATTAGCATGTCAGAGCTTGTCCAGAGATAATATTTTAGAACTGGTATAGCCTCTGAAAGGCAGTTTTGTAATATTTGATCTTTTATCTAGAAAATTTCCATGATCAACAAAATCCTAACCTGAGATTACCAGGGGCAGAAAAACTAGTAAATCGCAGTTATCAAAAATAGGGCGTTTATGTGTTGTTATTATCCTTTTTTCAATCCACTATATGCAGTAGTACAATTTTCTAACTTGAGTCATGAGTATTCATACCAAATTTAACCATTCAAACTTGGAACAAAGGCTAATTAATTTGTACCTGTTCAGTTTCAAAACTTCAAAAATAGTTTTTACTGTATAATTATTTAATTTCAATAGGAAATATTTTAGTCTTTAATGTCTTAGTATTAACCAACAGCTACTGATTCAGAAGTTAAAAAGTATGTTTCATCAAATGTACACATTTGAATTATTAAAAAAACTTAGGATTACAATAAAATCCTCAATATGTTGCCATTATGTAAGTAGATAAATAATAAGATCAATAGTCATTAGTAATGTGTCAAAGTAACTTCATACATTTATAAATATATCAAAATCTTTTAGTTTTATTATCCTCAGAAACTCAGGACTACTTAATGGTTATTTACTTGTCATTTTCATCAGAGATCATTGTGATTTTGTTTGTATGCTACTGAATACATCTTTTTCTAGTACTTGTTTAACTAAACTGAAAATAAATTTTTTCTTGGAAGCAAGATGAAGTCAAATGAATTCAACAGCTGCTGAAATTTCACCTGAAATTTTAAATAGCTCTAAAGCCACAAAAGGAAAAGATAAACATGTTAGCTTTAATATGGCTAGTACGCAATAAAAATTAGAAGAGCTATTTTGGCAAAGTTAACACAAACAGAAAACGTGATCAAAGTATGTTCACTAAAAGTCCCGTCACTAGCATTTTTATTTAGTACAGTATATGCTAGAATATAAATACATAAGAATATGCCCTTTCTTATCACAAGGAGTCTTTTATACAACTAAAATCACGGCCAACATTTTATATGACAAAAGAAAAATAAACCAAACCTGTAAATACTCAGAAAAGGAGCAAGGATATAGGAAAATAATTATGTTACAGAGGACAGTTACAATGAAAATCCATTACTTTCGTCTCTGACTCAATTTTATAAAATAAAGTCAACATGTATTAGTCTATGAATTGCTAAGAGCACATAAACAGTGTGGCTCTTTCAAAAGACAGTGGTCAAAGACAAACTGTTAACTTGATGTCATATATTGTTCTTAGTTCTTAACTGGAGTTGAGCTTCCTTTCATAGTCTTCTTTAGGTGGTGGTAGTTTGGCAAGATTTTCATCAGGAAATCCAGCTGTAGTGTCTGGGGCTAAAAAGATAAGAGAATTAAAAACTGACAAACAGAAAGCAAGAGTACCAGGCAGAAATAATTACCACTAGGTCAGGGAAATATAGGTGATTTTCACTAGCTGATTTCTGCTTTTTGTGGAGTTTTGTTTTGTTTTTTTAATTTACAATGAATATACACTAAGTTTGGAAATATGAAAAAGCCAAAATATTTTACATATAAAAATATACATAAAGGGTGCCTGGGTGGCTCAGTTGGTTCAGTGTCTGACACTGGATTTCTGCTCAGGTCATGATCCCACGGCTGTGCTGATGGCAAGGAGCCTGCTTGGGTTTCTCTCTCTCCCTTTTTCTCTGCTCCTTCCTTGCTCAAACTTGCACTCTCTCTAAATAAACTTTAAAAAAAAAATTTACATGACTCAGTTTTCAACCCTGCTTTTGTAGACTTTACCCTGGCCTTGAAAAAGTTAAAAAGTTCTAATCACAGATAACAACCTAATTAGAATTCTTGGAACGCACAGTTTTCCATGGGCCCTACAATCACACCACTGCACTCCTCGCCGGCTCTTCACTAGTCAGCACTGCCCAAACTTCCCAAACTTTCCTTGTTGCAAAACTCACTAGGGGTACTTGTGACAAATAGGGATGATTAAGTCTTTGCCCCAGACACTGGATTCAATAAGTTCTTTAATAAGGACTGTGATCAGTGAGATGTGGAAAACTGTATTAAACTTCAGGTATTCTTACTCAGTTCTAGTCTCCTTTAACCCAACTCCAGTTTCTTTTCTTCCTCTTTAATCATTTTTGCTGTTATGCAGAAAAATAGTGAAAAAAACCCTGGTTTGTTTTACTGCCTTTTTCGTCTATCAAAGTAATATTTATTTGCATATAATAATAATAAAAGCCAAACATTACAGAAACAGAATAAACCAAAGAGAGCTGGAGTTTCAACATCTGATAAAATATGGCTAAGAATCAGATGCAAAATGATAGATGCCTTGAAAAATATTTTCTTTTGGAGGAGGGGAAAGAGGCTGGCTAACTAAAGAATATATTGTGTACCAAGCAATAAGGTTCAAAACTTCAACCAAAATGTCTTCTGTCCAGGAGCGGTTGGGTGGCTCAGTTGGTTGAGTGTCCGACTTCAGCTCAGGTCATGATCTCACGGTTCATGGGTTCAAGCCCTGCGTTGGGCTCTGTGCTGACAGCTAGCTCAGAGCCTGGAGGCTGTTTCAGATTCTGTGTCTCCCTCTTTCTGCCCCTCCCCTGCTCTCTCTCTCTCTCTCAGAAATAAAAAATTAAAAATAAAAAAGAATGTCTTCTGTCCCAAGGAAGCCACAAATGCTCTACCTCCTATATGAAACTCTAAATACACATGCTTAATTATTCTTGGTTCTTAGTAGAAGGAGGTACTTTCTCATAAACCAGGAAAATATCAAAACACACTTACATATTTACAAACTGTGTTTATTTTCAAGTCAACTATGATGGTAAACTAACAGACCAAAGTTGGGTGGCCAGTATCAATTTGGTAGGATCATTCCTTATCCTTGAGGATTGATATTTTAAGAGTGAATCAACAGTTTATAAAGTTTGGTGATACATCTTCAGTGAAAATATACAAGATCACAAGTAACATCTCTGGATTTTCTTTTCTCATTATCAATTTGTCATTGTCATCTTTGTACATATTTTTGACAATAACTTAAAGACTGAATAAATTCTAGTTTTAGGAAGGTTTCTCTGATTTTAATCATTTGCTTTTTATTTAAGTTTATTTATTTTGAACCAGAAAGAGGGAGGGGGAAAGAGTAGGACAGAGAGAACCCCAAGCCGACTCCATGCTGTCAGTGCAGACCCCAACACAGGGCTTGAAATAACAAACCATGAGATCACGACCTGAGTGGATGTCAAGAGTCAGGGGCTTAACCACCTGAGCTACCAAGGCACCCCTAATTTGCTTCTTCTTCTTATTTTTTAATGTTTATTTACTTATTTTGAGAAGAGGGAGGAGCAGGCAGAGAGAGAGAGAGAAAGAGAGAAAGAGAAAATCCCAAGCAGGCTCCAAGCTCAGCGCATTCCCTGAGACGAAGTCAAGAGTCAGACACTTCACCAGCTAGGCCACCCAGGCACCCCTCTCATTTGCTCTTTAAATGGCAAAGTTGCTGCCCCATTAAAACAATTATGTGGTATTTTTCTGAAATTAGTAGCGCTAGAAAGAAATTTTTTTAAATTAAAGTATAATTAACATACTTCAAGTGTTATATTAGTTTCAACTGTACAACATATTGATTCAACAATTCTATACATTGCTTGGTGCTCACCATGATAAATGTAGTCACCACCACAACCATACATTATTACAATTTACTGACTATATTCCCTGTGCTGTACTTTTCATCTCTGTGACTTATGTATTTTGTAACTGGAAGTTTGTTATGTCTTAATCCTCTTGATCTGTTTCGCCCATCTCCCCTACCCACCTCCCCTGTGGCAACCACCAGTTTGTTCTCTGTATTTAAGTTTTTCTTTGTTTCTTTTAGAAAGAACTCCTTTTTAAAGACAAGTTCCAGTACCTGTGGTCGCTCAGTCTGCACCCGACGAAGGCAGTCTGCACCATAGATCACTGTATTCTCAGGGATGACCTCAAATGTATTCAGGTTACAGCAAGCCCCGATGATGCAACCACTTGTCAAGATTACGTTTCTCCCCACATATGCTGCAGTAAAACATAAAAAGAAGTGCAATTTAAGACAAACGATTAGAATATTATTTTTCCAAAATATCTTAAGTATACAAACTAGCCTTAAGAAAAAAAATTAAAGAAAATACTTCAGTTCAGAGTTTGTAAAGCATAGAAGCAGGCACCAGACCAGTATTAGATGGATTAAACACAGAGCTCTGCTGCTGACTAGTTGTGTGACCTTAGACAAGTCACTATAAATTCTGAGAAGCTTATCTGTGAAATGGAAAGATCAACCTACCTATGACCTGTTGTAAGGAATAATGAGATATTAAACGGAAAGTGCTGAGCCCAGCTTTGACACATAGTAAGTATATAATAAGTAAAAAATAACAATGATATGGCAATGAGAAAGAATGAAATCTGGCCATGTGTAGCAACATGGATGGACCTTGAGGGTGTTATGCTGAGTGAAACAGTCAGGCAGAGAAGGACAAATATCATGTTTGCATGTATAGGAGGATTAGGAGGAACTTAATGGAGGACCATGGGGGAGAAGAAGGGGGGGAAATAGTGGGGGAGAGGCAGAGAGGCAAACCATGAGAGACTCTTGAATGCTGAGAACAAACTGAGGACTGATGGGTATGGCGGGGGAGAGAGGTGATGGGCATGGAGGAGGGCACTTGTGGGGATGAGCACTGGGTGTTATATGGAAACCAACTTGACAATAAACTATTTGTAAAAATAAATAAATAAATAATGATAATAATTGGTTATCCAAATTAAAATAAAAACCCATTAAGTAGATTAACAAAAAGTCTAATTTTAGTATTTAAAAAAGGAAGCATTTTCTTTCATGTCAATTAAGACCAACAAAGATAAATCATTATTCTAAAGACATCTCTTTGTTCAGGTTCTTTCTGGACTTTGGTGAGACAGCCTCTTGGAGGCTTTCCGGTAGTGTGGTGACTTCACATGACCTCCCGCCCAGCTCCGCTTATGGTAAGTTGCTTATATTTGTTCCTGACTGGCTAGGTAAAGTAGTCCTGAAATTAAAGGAAGCAAACTGTTACAGAAAATGATTTTTTTTCTTTAATTCTGCAATTATATTCATCAACTAAATTATCACTGACACTAGTACTTAGCAGAAATCTTTTTCAAATCTTTCATCTGAATGTTATGGTTTAATCCAATCCCAACTTAAATGTACACAGCTGAATTTTTAGTTCAATGTATTAAACACATTATTAGGTTCCTTAAAGGAAAAGAATTGGTCTCCTAACTGTTTTAGTCCACTTTCAATCATGGCTTCCTTCCACTTTGCCACGGGTTGCTTTCCAGGACACCACACAGAGAAAGGAGGTAATCACTTTTCACAATAAAATTCTGAATATAGCTTACCTTTTGATTCAATAACATTATTATCTCCCATTTTCATGGCTTGGGAATCTGTAAGCCAGAGTTAAGTAAACACTGTAAATATGTTCATCTTTTTCCTCTACCAATTCACTATATCCTATTCTGCTCTGGGACAGAAGGTAGAAGCATGGGGCAGGGCCCTACAGGCTCAGATACTCCTTGCTCAGGGCAGCCTGCAAGTAAAGTTTTAATCTTTAAATCTAAGTATCTCTAAGTAGATATAAGTTGCCTTCTATGTTTCTTAAGGAAATGAGCATCTTTTACCCCAATTCTATGAGTAATGTATTTTCACGACTGTCTGAGGAAAATTAAATTTACCACACAATTGCTTAAAGATAACACTGTTAACAGTTTGATATATCTTTATATAAATACATATAATTCCCTTTATATAACTGGGACTCAAACTGTATAAACTTTTACAGCTGACTTTATTTGGTTCAATTAAATTTGCACTCATTGTTCCATACCATTAAAATCTTTAAAAACATAATTTAAAATGGCTGTTTAATGATCTTAATAGTCCATTTTGTGCTTGTAGCTTAATTTACCTGAATATGCTAAATATTTAGATTTTTTTTCCCCTCTAAGTTTCTCTATCATAAAATTATGTTTTGCTGACAACATGAAAAGATTTTACTAGCTTTTTAGAGTACAAAAATCAAGGAAAGAACTAGTGGCATTCTGGGGGGAAAAAAAAAAAACACAAAGAATGAAATATTTCCAGGGGTGCCTGGATGGCTCAGTTGGTTAAGTGTTTGACTCTTGATTCCAGCCCAGGTCATGATCTCATGGTTTGTCAGCTCAAGCCCTGACATCAGGCTTCGCTGTCAGCTTGGGATTTTCTCTCTCCCTCTCTCTGCCTCTCCCTCCCCTCTAAATAAATAAATAAAATAAACTTATAAAAAAGAAAAATATTCCTATCCCCTTTCACCATTTTTTGCATCAGACAACATACTGTTAACCTAAACTATATAGGAATCAAATGGATAGAGCTGCGGTTCTTAAATCAGGACAAAAGCCAGGATTCTTCCATTTCTGAGTCTGCTGTCACTCAGTCATTGCTACCTGTGAACAAGCTGTAGCAACAGGAGCAGTGTGTGTGTGTGTGTGTGTGTGTGTGCGCGCGCGCACGCATGTTATAATATACTTGATATAGGGGCTCCTGGGTAGCTCAGTGGTTAAGCATCCGACTTCAGCTCAGGTCATGATCTCACGGTTTGTGATTTCAAGCCCAGTATTGGGCTCTGTGCTGACAGCTCAGAGCCTGGAGCCTGCTTCAGATTCTGTGTCTCCCTCTCTCTCTGCCCCTCCCCAGATCATGTTCTGTCTCTCTCAAAGATAAATAAACATTAAAAAAAACTTTTTTAAAAATAAACTTGATATATTTGACAGGTAAAATATGACAGTTTCTATGGAATAGATTTTGGATACTAAGAGCAGCTGGGAAGAAGTTTTACTTTAAATCACTGTAAAGGATACAACAGCCAACTTCAAACACATTATTGGTGCCAATGATCATAGGTTTTGGTTCTGGATCTTCAGTATCAGGGGTGATATTATCAGGGTGACTGTAATAAGAGACAAATCATCAAAGTCAATAATGCAATAAACATTTCTCTTGTTTTGGAATTTGGGTTCATTCTGTAAATTTTATCTCCATTAAGCTTAAAATATGTTACTACATAAGTAATGTCTTAATCCAAGGGAATTATTTATCGGCTATGCAGAAGACTTGATTCTGAGTTGAAAAACAACTACTAAAAGACAAAGAAGTCACAGCTAGATACAGAAGGTCAGCCTTCCTTTGCCAATTTTTATTTTATTTTCTTATTTTTATTTTTTCCTTTGCTTATTTTTAAAGCTAATTGCCCAGGGGGCCTTTGGCTACAATCTTTAGCTTATTAAACTGGAATCAAAATCATGCCTGGCTTAAAAAATTTCCATTCTTAATAACCATTCAAGATTGTGAAATGTAAACAGATATTCACATAAAATAATTATTTTATATGCTCTTAGGTAGTCTGACATATTTGGAACATAAAATGTTTGTGGTCTAGGAGGAAGCCATTTTTTAAATGGTGCTTTATCTCTGACAGCTGATTTACTGCAGAATATAGCTGTTATTAACTGACTTAAAATAAAGGTGCCAAAATAGATTTTAAAAAGAAACTGCTTAATATAGTAAGAAACTCCCAAATCCTAAGTAAGTGTTAAGACAAATCAATCTCTTTATCACAGTTAAATATTTTCCCAAGGTCTTTCTTACAAATTCCATACATTGTTGCTATAAATTAGGTATAAGCTTGAATTTCCTGCCAAAATTTTATCTAGAAAGCTTTATAAATGCTTATGGGAATTTCATAGGTATTATAGTCTAGCTCACTAAGATCATGTACATGTTCTAATATTTTATTATTTTTTTTTACTCTTTAAAGTTAAAAATTGCCCCTAAGAGCCCCAAATTTTCAAATATAATTCTGGGTGCTACCCCCTCAAAGCATATGAAAACATGTATCAGAGTTAAGTGCATGTGTCTGGGGAGGAGTAGTAACAATTCAGCCAGAACTGAGAAATCCAACCAGAAGACTCTCTTCAGGGTGGTTGGCACAGCACTTGGTCGCTGGAGTCAGGAAACGTTTGATTGCTGCACAGAGGAGGTCGTGATATGTAAGGGGAAGATTCCCAGACTGAGGGGAGGAGATTATTCTAGTCAGCCACCAACGAGTTATCTCACCTTCACCCATCTGGTCTCTGGTTTCTTCATTTACTAACCACCTGTGAAAAGATCCTTCTTGTTTCTCTAGTACTAAAATAGTAGCCTTTCCAGATGTCTACTGTAAAAGTTCCTATAGATAGCTGAATTAATAAAAACACAATCTGCGGTACTTAGTTCAGGGTATCTGTAAGTATCTTACTCACGCATTTATGATAAGCGCCTGTTCTTCTATCAGGTTACCTTCACCAATTACTATTGGTCCGGCTTCTGCAATAATCCGTGCTTTAGGGTGGATCACTGTCCTAGGTCCTGTTAAAAATACAGTGACAAGAAATTATTGGTGGAGGTTATGTTCCAATGGGAGGGGAGGTGACGGGGGGGGGGGTCGTGAGGCTACTGGGAGGAACATTTTGTAAAGTACGTGCCAGGCACCACACTAGGTGCACTTTACAAATGTTATCTCCTCAGCTGTTATCAATTGTAGCTAGTGCCAAATCTCAAGGCAAGGTGAGCGGAGACAGGACAAGCTGTGGAGCCAGACAGCCCTGGCTAACCAGCTGTTTGGAAGCCTCTGTTATCTCAGCAGTGAAATGGGGGTGGGGAGAATACCATCTTACAGAGGCGCTGTAAGGGTTAGACGAGATAATGTTCGTAGACACGGTATTCTGGCACACTGTTGGCAAGAACATTAATTCCCTTCCTTGCTTTCTCTCATACAAGTAAGGCTCTTCGCTTACAATGTTGGGCTTTCTCATGCAAGTGAGCCACATTCACACTTTCTCACGCTAGTGTACTACAGAGTTAGTCTTCCTATTAAGTGGCTAAGAGGAAATATGGGTGGAACGGGAGACAAGAAACATGGAAACTAACCTTATCTTTGTTACTGTGTTACCATCCCAACACCAAGCCTAACCACTGGAAGGAGGCAGAGATACTGTTGTGTCTGGTCTAGAATATGATTTTAACCAGTGAAAGGTTGTAAAAGGTTACAGGGAGGCGGTGGAAGGAGCAAATGTAATTACTGGAACCAAAGACACTGATATAGGCAGACTGAGGGGATGCCTCCTACCTCAAATTGAAAGGAGCAGGAAGGGGTCTTACCACATCCATTTCACCAGCGGGTGGAGGCGGCCCTGCACTGCTTAAACAGGGACATACTTCTGGAGTGCTAACACATTCCCGCCCCTGCTTCTTAATTTCCCAAAGGCCTAGCATTTTGGTGATAATGAAACCACTCCTAAGAAAATATAACCTCATTTTCACCACTCCCTGTAACACTAGCCCCACCCCCACCGCCAATGCCATGGCTATTTTTATTGGTAAATAAGTGGACATGAAGTAACCGACTCTGAAAGTAAGACAGGGTGGGCAGAAGTGTTGACAAGAGGTGGGGAGGTGGTCAGGAAGATGCCACTGTCCATGTAATTCAGTACTCAATTGTGTAAATTAATTTATTCAATAATCATTATCTGCATAGGACAGGCAAGATACAGTGCTACACGTTAGAGGGAAACAAAAAGAAATACTAGCTACTTTTGCCCTTTTGAGCTTGCTTTTCTGTTTTGTTGATCTTGAAAACTGGAAATACTTAACACTCACACACAAATGTATTAAATAAGGAGGTGTTCCTGGTGCCCAGAAAATTGGAAGGAACCTCAGTGTAGCTTTAATTTTTCCCCCCTAACAATGAAGAGCTGGGCATTGATAAGGAGGGTGGGGCCCAAGACAGGATGCACAGTCAAAAGACGCACAGTCTGAGAAGTAACATGAGAGGGGCTTTGTTATTTCTATCACCTCTGGCTCCCCAAATCCTCAGCTGCCCAAGTAAAATTGCTCTGGCAAATTCTCCTATTCAGGATAGAAGATGGGATCTCTTGAATCTCTGGGAAGATGACTGTGAACATGTGTACCTTTTTTCTGTTAAAAAATACACACATTTACAAAGGTAATACATGCTCATTATAAAAATTCAAACAAAGCAAAAGTGAAAGATCCTCTCTTTATGCTAATCCTATTCCCAGAGGTAATTATTCTTAAAAGTTTAGGGTATATTATTCCAGACTTAAGTTCCACCGTACACTTCAGACCTATAAATATCACTGTATATTAAATATATTTCACCATGAAGTTAAAAAAAAAAATAGAATATAATTTAAAGGTGGAAAAATATGAATTATAAGCACGTAGTTGATTTTTTTTAAATCAAGGAATAGTAGGGGTGGCTACTGGGTGGCTCAGTCGGTTAGGAGTCCAACTTCGGCTCAGGTCATGATCTCACGGTTTCTGGGTTTGAGCCCCGCATCGGGCTCTGTGCTGACAGCTAGCTCAGAACCTGGAGCCTGCTTCAGATTCCATGTCTCCCTCTCTCTCTGACCCTGTCCTGCTCACCCTGTTTCTCTCTCTCAGAAATAAATAAAACATTTAAAAAAAGTTTTTTAAATACATCAATCAATCAAGGAATAGTACTTATTATTCTGCAATTTGCTTAATTCACCTAAAAAGTCACGGTGATTTTTCCATAAAAGTACATTTAGCTAGCTCTTCTTTTCAATGGCTGAATAGTACTTCATATCATATTAACATAACAAGCCCTTACTGATGGGCAATTAGATGTTATCACTTTTGAGGGAGAGGTGCTAAATGATACTGAAACAAACACTTGAATCCTCTGAAATGAGAAATTTCTTACAGGTCTTTCAGCTGTGTGAACCAATTTACATCTATAGTTTGCATGATACTAGATTTGCACTTAACTTAAAAATGTTCTGTGATAAAAGGGACAAATCATTCTATTTTAGGTTCTCTGTAATTAAAGCCCCTGCCAGCACCCCATTCCTTGTCTAGAAAGTGTACATTCTGCCCTCTACCACTTAAAGGCTATATGCTTAATCTCTCAAATGCCTGTTCTCTCATCTGTAAAAAGATGAGATCCAGAATAACCTATTGTTGTGTTGAAGTGTGGATTACACGAAATAAGGTCTGAAAAGGAGATCGCAGGACCTGGCCCATAGGTGTTAAAAATGGGAAGCTCATCGCTCTCTGTCACTATGAGCTAACAAATAACTATCAATAAGCAAAACAACTCCTTCTGGTCTGAGAAACAGAAAAACTCCTCTCCTCCACTCAGGTTATTAGGGTGGTAACTCCTTTTAACCAGTGGGGGTAAATTCACATACTACTTTAAGATAGTAAAAGAAATGAATAAAGGGATTTTCTATACTAGCATGAAAATCTTAGGGAAGAGATCACCAGGCTGTGAAAGAAAGCAGATCATCTGCCGCGGCTCATAGATAAGAAGCCAGAGGCACGAGGTGTTCTGCTGGTCCTTAGCTGCGGCTTGGACGACAGGCAGACTTAAAAGAAGTTACCGAGAATGGACGAGCATGACAAGGTTATCACTGAAACCTTTCTTTAAAATTTCCTCTGAAGTAGCTCTGAAAATAATTGATATCTTCATTTTTCCCTTTCAAAAATGATCTAATATATGTTAATTTTACAAACACAAATTTTAAAAAATGAAACTAAACCCAAGTGCCATGTCTTACAGAATTTTTAAATATAATGCCTGAGCAATTTTTTTAATGTTTATTTATTTTCAAAAGACAAAGACAGAGCACGAGCAGGGGAGGAGCAGAGAGGGAGACAGAATCCAAAGCAGGCTCCAGGCACTGAGCTGTCAGCACAGAGCCTGATGCAGGGCTTGAACTTCCCAACCCCAAGATCGTGACCTGAGCTGAAGTCAGATGCTAAACCGACCGAGCCACCCAGCTGCCCCTAATGCCTGAGCTATTTTAAGCAGGTGTTTTATTATTGTTATCATTTTTATCATAATTAAGAAGTCAGCAAGAAGATAACTGGAAATCTGATTATATATCCGAGGGCCCTTGGGATATAATGCAGGGTCACCAGCTTACACGAGATGCCACCTCCACCTGGTGGCAGCACTGCCAAACTACAAGTCCTTGTGTTTCAGGCCTGAAATAACTCGAAGGATCAACGCTGAATTGTAGTGTAACAACAAAAGTCATAGCTGATAATAAACTAAACAGTTCCCCTAAATCTCTCGTACAGAATAGGTGGGGTTAGTATACATGTACTTCAGTATATGTGACTACTAAGATTTTGGTTTCTAGAACTTGCTACAGGGACATTCTGACTCAGGTGTGTAATCTGCACAGTGTGGGCTTTGCGTCTGCACAGTTTTGTGCTGGAGGTTGGCACGAACAGGCCCAGGAATCCGAGTGGTATTCCAAGGCCGGGCAGCCACAGTGCACTGAAGGGTAGGCCCAGACTGCTCCACCCTCTTCTACATGTAAGAAGCACTTTTACCTAGAATGGGTCTGATTTCAAACCAAGTTTAAGGGTCTTGAGGTTAAAATGCTTTAAAAATAGAAATCTGTCGCCATAGAAAGTCTTTTTTTTTTTTTTTTTTTTTAAAGGCTGTTGTAAACTTTCTTGGAGTTCTTACTGGCAGGGTACTTTGTATATTTTCTTACCAAATGTGCTGAAATCCTATTTGGCTTATCTCCTTGTTTGGATAAATGTGTCTAGAGTTGGAGTTGCCTTATTGGCTGATGAATTATTTTTCTAAATGGTTGGCGGGGCTTGATGCAACACAGCCAGAAAGGCATTCCTTGCATCAAATTTCCATTCCCCTCGTTTGGTAAAGGACATTTTTCCTGTCTGTCTTTGCCACAGGAAGCTATCTTTGTGTACATTTTCATATGTCAATAAATAGTTCAAAAAGCCACAAGTGCTCTTTGGAAAGTTAAAACAATTCCTTTGACCTGTAAGCTTAAGTACCTGTAAGAAATGCTTTATGTTTGATGAATTTCAAGTCAAAGCCACTGTTCTGCCTTATTAAGAAAGATTTCCACAGTAAAGGGGAGCTTTTGATCTGTTAAAAACTCTAATGGAGAGAAAGACAGAATAAATGGGACAAAGGGCTTCCGTCTCAGTTTCCCGCTGGGTGGAGTCCTGCCTTCCTACCTAGTACCATGTCCCAACCAAGCCCTGTCCTAAGACCGGGAGACTGACTTTCACCCTATAATGGGACTACAGAAAAGGGGCTCAGAAGTAACTTTCTGAAATGCTTTTCAGCTTTCAAAACAAAATGTAAGGAAATAATGGTGGCCCAGGAATCAAGGCAGCCTGATTAAAAACAGGCTGGATGCTATGAAACCTTGTTTACCCACACTGTAATTAACAAGAGAGCTGTTATTTTTCCCAAGGTCTGTTTCCTGGCAGCCTCTAATGAAAGGGGTCAGGCTCCAGCAGCGCCTCCAGTCCTAGGGTTTCTGCTTAACTACAATGCTTCAAAGCTTCAGACTAGTTTCTTTGATAAACCAAATACCTGACTTTCTAGGAGAACAGATCAGGTTTAAAGTTCTACTACACTACTGAAACATAGAGAAGGAAAAAATTACTTCCTTTCTGAAATATTTCAGAATGGAATAATTTGGTAACAGTATATCCAACTAGGGGATGGAAAGTTATGCATAACATCCTGAAAAATCTATTAATTCAACTACACTTAAGTTTATTGCTACTTACTGAGAAACCGGGGCATATTGGTGTTCAAATCTCTATGTCCATAATATAACAGAAAAAGACTTTAGTCTGATAAATTAAGCAAAAACAACAAAAGACAAAAGCCATAAATTGGGGAAAAAAATAATGGTGGGGAGAGTGAGTTTTAATCAGATAACTTATCTCTACTCTCCCATGTGACTTAACTTCAGATCTCCCTGGTGCTGTTTAATCTGATGTATTGCATCAGAGAAGTGAATTAATAGCAGTCAGAAGATTAAGGATATCGTATACCAAATAGAACAATGATAGAAATGGCTATCTCAATACTGATTCTGGAATTTTTCCATTCTTATAGATATACTTAAACACAAACAACAAACCAAACAAAATGGTAAGAAACACACATAATGAAAATGAGATAAGAATTATAAAAGACTGAACACTGGATAAATATATCACTTCTGAATCTTTTCCTTAATTTTAAAAATTGAGATGTTTCTGTAAAGTGAGCAAATTTTCTTGTTTTAAAAAACTAGGTCAAAAGTAAGCATAAAAATATTAATTTAGATCCACTGAATGATAAACTTCAAATCACTAGTTTAAAAATTATGACCACTTCTTATGCTAAAAATCTGTGTTGTGGGGCACCTGGGTGGTCAGTCGGTTAAGCATCTGACTTCGGCTCAGGTCATGATCAAACAGTTTGTGGGTTCGAGCCCTGCGTTGGGCTCTGTGCTGACAGCTCAGAGGCTTCAGCCTGCTTCATATTCTGTGTCTCCCTCTCTCTCTCTCTGACCCTCCCCTGCTCACGCTGTATCTCTCTCTCAGAAATAAATAAAACATTAAAAAAAAAAGAAAAAAAAAAAAAGAAAACCTGTAAGGTGGGCACTCCTATTTTGCATGTCACAAAACCTGTTAATTGCCACTAGATATCCGGTCTTCCCTCTTCCTGATAGCTGAATCCCACTGGATTGGGGGCAGCAATGCACCCAGTTCAGACTGTATCTCCCAGCCTTCCCTGCAGCTAGCTGTGTCCATGAGATTAAGTCCAAGGCATCCGACGTACAAAGAGAGAATGTGTGAAACTTTCAGGACGACTATGTAAAGGAAGCTGATCCAACTGGGAGGTACACCCTTTTGTTTCCACTCCTCCCCTTTCTTTTTTTTTTTTTAAATGTTTACTTATTTGTGTGTGTGTGAGAGAGAGACAGAGACAGAGCGTAAGCAGGGGAGGGACAGAGAGGAGAGAAAGACACAGAATCAGAAGCACGCGCCAGGCTCCAAGCTGTCAGCACAGAGCCCGACTTGGGGTTTGAACTCATGAACCGTGAGATCATGACCTGAGCTGAAGTCGGATGCTTAATGGATTGAGCCATCCAGGCGCCCCAACTCCTCCCCTTTCTTATCCAAGATCACTTTTAGTACTTTAGTTATCACATTCTGGCCTAAAAGGCTGGAGCTCCTGGACGATCAACTGACCAGGCCTGAAATGCCTACCTCTAGACTTACTTATACAAGACAATAAACCTTTGTGTATTTAAACCACCACTATATGCAGCTGAACCTAATTCTAATACACATATTTACACAGATGGGGAAAATGAAGGTTGGTAATGTTAAGTATAAGTAGTATGTTCAAAGTGAAACACCAGGTAAAGAACAAGGATGCTAACCCAGGTGTCAGACTCCATGGTCCACCCTCTTACTAACTACCCCGTAGTAAATAAGCTCCATGAAGGCAATACCTTTGTCCGCTGTGTTTGTCTCTGTGTCTCTAGTGCTAGCATGCTGCACATAGTAGGTACACAATAGGTATTTCTCAAATAAATGAATAACTTCATCATATTGCCTCACTCCTTTATCAGATGGAAGTTTTCAAAATAGAGAGTCCATCTGGGTGCCTGGCTGGCTTGGTAGAGTATGCGACCCATTTTTGTTTTTAATGTTTTTTTTCATTTTTGAAAGACAGAGACAGAGCACAAGCAGGTGTGGGGTGGAGAAAGAGAGGGACAGAGAATCTGAAGCAGGCTGAGCTGTCAGTACAGAACTCAACTTCGGGCTCGAAGTCACAAACTGCAAGATCATGACCTGAGCCAAAGTTGGATGCTTAACCAACTAAGTCTCCCAGGTGCCCTGGAGCATGTAAGTCTTGATCTCAGGGTTTTGAGTTTGAGCCCCACACTGGGTGTAGAGATTACTTAAAAATAAAATCTTGGGATGCCTGGCTGGCTCAGAGGAACATGTGACTTGATCTTGGGGTCATGGGTTTGAGCCCCATGTTGGGTATAGAGATTACTTAAAATAAATATTTTATTAAAAATTAAAAAATAAAATCTTTAAAAAGTGCCTATCTGGGGCACCTGGGTGGCTCAGTCAGTTAAGCGTCCGACTTCGGCTCAGGTCGTGATCTCACGGTTTGTGGGCTTGAGCCCTGCGTCGGAAGCCAGCTCAGACCCTGAAGCCTGACTTCGGATTTTGTGACTCCCTCTCTCTTGCCCTCCCCTGCTCACGCATGCTGCCTCTATCTCTCTCTCAGAAATAAATAAAACATTTAAAAAAAAATTTTTTTAAAGTGCCTATCACACTTAATTCTTTTAGAAATATTAAACACAGGAGAAATATATTATTTTGTCAATAAAATTAGAACATCAGTGAGACAAATATATAACACCTAATTAATTGTAGAGGATTGAAATAAATTAAATTACATAAATTTTTGAGAAAAGAAAAAAAACACTAATAAACGATTTTCTTACCTATGGTTACATCACCCCGGATTTCACTTTCTACACATACAACTGCTCCAGGAGCAATCTTCACACTGTAGGAAGAAAAAGGTAATATTCACCATGGGTAAGTTTAAAAAATATTGTTATAGAAGCTATCTAGACACTTCAGTGAGAAAAAGGTTTAAAAAACTGATTTAAAAAAAGAAATTATAAAAAGGTAAGGTATTTAATATACTATAAGTTTCTCAGGGGGCATACTGTCCATCAGGCTAAAATCATACTGATGCCTTATTAAATAAAATGCTTGAGAAAAGAGACTTTGGATTCTTTAAACACCAGCATTTTTTCCAAACAGCAAAAGGCTGAATACAACCTAGATATCCATTAGTAAGAGACAGGTTAGTAAACTATGGTACACCACAATCTAATACACTGTCATTAAAAAGAATGAATAATCCTTTATATAAAGATTTGAAACAATTTCCAAGCTCTATTAAGTCTAAAAAAAGTAAATGCCAGAAAATGAACAGTATATAATACACCATTATTTTTGTAAAAAGAATGACTATTCAAAATCTTTAACAACCAGCAAGGTAATATTAATATAGAAATCAATGTAGACATTCAAAATTAATAAACAGTCCTATTTATTGTCTATTTATACTATAAATTAGCTTATAGTATCAAACTTTAAGTAATTAGCTTATAGAATCAAGTAATAACTTTATATCAAGTGATATAAACTGGAGAGCAAACTGTTCAAAAATTACTAACTTCCAAATAATTTATTGATGCTTTTTGATATTCTGTGATATCCTGTTTGACACAGCCAAATCTAGCTGAACACTGCCCTAGCTGAGCCATGAGCTGACGTGAAGAACTGTCCCAAACGACTTTCCCATTAAACTGACAATCATTTGGTAACTTGTTCTCAGTATTTTTCTTAGTAATAATGATATTATTCATGGTTTAATGTGTACTCGCTTCTATAAAATAACAATACCATTTTAGACATTTTGACTTTATAATTCTATTTAGATTTTTCAAAATTTTTTATTTCCAGTTGTTCACTGCAAGTATACAGAAATACAATTCAATTTTGCATATTGACCTTATATCCTGAAACTTTGCTAAACCCACTGAGTTCAAGCAGATTCTCTAGGATTTCTCACATGAACAGACAATTTTATTGTCTGTGAATAGAGTTTTTCTTTTTTTCCAATCTGTATGCATATTATTTTTCTTGCCTTATTGCCCTAAGACTTTCTAGTATGATGTTTAATATCCTTAACCTGTTCTACTTCTAGAAGATCAACAAAACCTATCAAACTACTTTTCTAAGCCATGAATTATGAATTTTAATGTTTATTTTTGAGAGAGACAGAGAGAGACAGAGAGAGAGACAGAGTGCGAGCAGGGAAGGGGCAGAGAGAGGGAGACACAGAATCTGAAGCAGGCTCAGAGAGAGTCATAGAGCCTGACACAGGGCTTGAACCCACCAACAGTAAGATCATGACCTGAGATGAAGTTGGACACTTAACTGACTGAGCCACCCAGGTGCCCCAATTATGCATTTTAAATAAACTATTAAAGCCTGGTGTATAAAACAGTTGAAACTTTCTTGACTAAAATGTTAATACCTTGATTTATAAGTTTTCTAAAAACTTGTTTTCAAAAACTATAGCAAATGTTTTTCAAACAGTAAGAACCAGAAATGTAGAGTGCAATGATCACTCAATATTAATTTAAGTTCTAAAAATATTCATGTATGAAAATGATTTTTAACTGATAGTAGATAGTATAAAAATGTCAGTAGTGCTTTCTATTTGTTTTTCATGTCTTTTTTTCTTTGACATTTCTTTGATAAAAAAAAATTGTTACTGCCAGGTTTTATCTTTCCAAATATATTACTGTGAGATGGATTCATTTGTTTTTTTTATGTTTATTTCATTTTATTTTTTAATGCTTATTTATTTTGGAGAGAGGGAGAGACAGAGTGCAAGCAGGAGAGGGACAGAGAGAGAAGGAAACACTGAATCTGAAGCAGGCTCCAGGCTCTGAGCTACCAGAGCCCGACATGGGGCTTGAACCCACAACTGTGAGATCATGACCTCAGCTGAAGTCGGATGCTTAACCGATTGAGCCACCCAGGCGCCCCTCATTCACTTTTTAAGTCTGTCTTCTTGGATGAATGCAAGTTTTCATTATATGTAACAGGCTTGCCAATATTGCCATTCTAATAAATTATACTTAAGTCTTTCTTTAGCACATGCAGTTTCTCTGATATAACTTTTGAGCATCATTTACAACTGATGCAGCCAATAGTGCTGTCCTAATGTGTAACTGCTGAGTATCTTATTTGCTTTAATATTTCCAAACTATCTCTGGAGGGACAGATAAGGTACTAATAATATCCACTGCCTTCTGAGAGAGGAGCTGGAGAGCAAGGACACAATGGTGATGGAAGAGGTTTTTCTTTACATGCCCATTTTTTAACATGTTTGCATTTTGAATCCCACAAATACATTACCTATTAAATAAATAAATAAATAAATAAATAAATAAATAATAAAACAAAACAGAAAAGAGATTGCTAAGATTTTCTCAACACCAGGTGCCAGGGAGTCCTGGATTCATTTCTATAACTAGGTTGAAACTTTATCCCTATTTCCTTAAAAAAAAGCCTCCCTCAAATCATGATCCTTATATCCCCTCCCCTACTTTACCTTTATTTTACCTAAAAATACTTTCTTGAAACTCTTAAGCATCATTTAATGAATTTTAGACTCCTAGTTTCCCTTTAAGACCATTTTTTTGTTGTTGTTCTTTAAATCATTGTTCCCATTGCTTCAGCAATAATCCTTTGTAACCAAGAATAAAATTATTATTCATTAGTAACACCCTCATTACTTCCAATCTTCAAATAATCAACTATCACAAATATAACCCTATCATGCCAGATTCACAATGGCATTGGTTATAGTATTTCTAGGCCACTGTCTGTTACTGTTCTGTGTCATATTACATGAAGGATGCTTGATAATGTACTAGTAGAAACATGACACAACTCAATATAAGTAAGAAATAAACGCCTATGTTATGAAATAAATGCAAATACTTGGAATATACAGCATAATCATATTCCAGTCCATTTCTTTTTTTTTTTGTTTGTTTGTTTCTAGGAGAGAGAGAGAGAGAGACAGACAGCGTGAGCAGGGGAGGGTCAGAGAGAGAGGGAGTCACAGACTGAAACAGGCTCCAGGCTCCGAGCTGCCAGTCAGCACAGAGCCCGACGCGGGGCTCGAACCCACGAACCGCGAGATCATGACCTAAGCGAAAGTCGGACGCTTAACCGACTAAGCCACCCAGGCGCCCCTCCAGTCCATTTCTTATATTAGTTTGTTCAGGGTAATGAGGTGTTTTTGCTTTTCCATTTATTTTGGCTATTAAATGATGCACCTGTAATTTAACTGAAACACTTGGACACTTTTGATGACAATTATCAGGATACTTCTAAGAAAATACTGTACCAATATACATCAGGAATCAACATAGTCACAATGTTTGACCTAGGACATCTATTTCTGGAGTTCTAGCATCAAGAATTCAACAGAAGGAAAATATATGCACAAATTGGCAATGTTATTTAGACTAATGAAACCATAAAAGGGGAGAAGTAATGAAATAAAATATAATCATCAACTTACTGGAATACTATATACTCCCTAACAATAAAAACAAGGTAAAATTACCTTTTTATAGAAAAAGTTTGCCCCTCCCTGCAGCACTGCACTCAAGACATCAGGCCCAAAGGTAGGTGATGATGACAGGAAGGGCAACCGTGAGCCCACCATCTCCTCTTCCCCTATGTGCCTCCCTATCCTCATGCGTAATTTCAGGCAACAAGGGAATAGATGAGGATTCCTAAAGAAACTACCAGACAACACGAGTTCTTCAATGAGAAGTTCAGCTTTCTGCCTGATTTGCTCCACGCTGAGACCTAATGCGTATATCTGCAGCTTCCAGCTATTTAGTTCTCATCCTTCCTAATGGAGAAAGAGCCAGAGATGATCAGATAAATTAGGAAAGCCTACAACTAAAAAGGAAAAAAGCAAAACAAAGAGAAAAAAATAGTCTGAGGAAACACTGATAATTCAGGTAGTAAACATAAACTTAAAGTATAATTCAGAGAAATAAGAGACTACTGCATAAAACAAGACAGAAGTCTATGAAAAAGGTACAGCTCTAAGAAAGAGCTCCTGAAAATTAAAAACATAACCAAAATGTGAAATTGCTAGGAGTGACGTTTAAAAAAAAAAAAAAAAAAAAAAAAAAAAAAAAAAAAAAAAAAAAAAAAAAAAAAAAAAAAAAAAAAAAAAAAAAGAGCTCTTCCAGAAAGTAGAACAAAATGCAAAATAAAATAAAATTCAAAATAGGGCAGAAAAAGTGAGAAAATTAGAGAACCAACATACGAGGTATAGAATCCAAATAAAACTCGGGGCACCTGGGTGGCTCAGTCATTTAAGCGTCTGACTTCTGCTCAGGTCCATGGGTTCAAGCCCCATGTCAGGCACTGTGCTGACAGCCTGCTTCGGATTCTGTATGTGTCTCTCTCTCTCTCTGTCCCTCCCCTGCTCATGCTCTGTCTTTCTCTCTAAAAAATAAATAAACGTTAAAAAAAAAAAGAATCCAAATAAAAGGAGAAAAGAATTTGTGGAAAAACAAAGAGTAGTACAAGAAAATTTCCACAGACTAAAGGATATTAATCTCAATTCTAAAACAATGTGAATGCAAAAGGCCCATGCCAAGTAATACTATCTTAAAATTTCTGAATGCTATGGGAAAGATCCTTAAAGTTTTCATAACAAAAAAAAAAAAACAAAAAACAAAATCACACACAGGGGTTAAAATAATCAGAATGGCATCAGAGTCCTCAGTATCAACACTAGAGTCTAGAAGACCAGAAAACAATCTCTACAGAATTCTAAGTGAAAACTATGTTCAAACCAGAGCTATCAACCCAGCCAAACTAGCAATCAAGTATGGACAGAGAATAAAGACTTGCAAAAACTTAAAATTCTCTCTCAAGTACTCTTTATTAGGAAGCTGCCAAAGGATGTACTAAGCTAAATAAAAGTAAGCCAACAGACAAGATAGATTCTAGAAAGAGAGGCTCCAGTGTGTTAGGACAAAGGGAAATATCAGGACAACAGCCATGCATCAGCCTCAGAGAGCAAAGATGATAGAAGATTTCATGGGAAGATCTCCAAAAAAGAAAAAAAAAAGAAGGATTGTGTGATGATTACTAGATATTTTATATATTTGATATATCTGATATATCTGTTTGAAGACTTGAAAATCATCAGTACATAGAAAAGTAAGGCAATGAAAAAGCGAAATTATTTTGTTAAAATTTATATTAATTCAGGTTGAGGGTCCACAGAAAATTCAGGAGAAAGACCCAGTAACAGGGGCGCCTGGGTGGCTCAGTTGGTTAAGTGTCCGACTTCGGCTCAGGTCATGATCTCACGGTTTGTGGGGTCAAGCCCCGTGTCCAGCTCTTGTGCTGACAGCCAGCTCAGAGCCTGGAGCCTGTTTCAGATTCTGTATCCCCCTCTCTTTCTGACCCTCCCCTGCTCATGCTGTCTCTCACTCTCTCCCCCAGAAATGAATAAAACATTTTAAAAAATTAAAAAAAAAAAAAAAGACCCAGTAAGAAAGTGAAAACACAAAGCTCATGAGAGTTCTAGATCAGAAATAAAGCTCTAACAAAAATGAACTACTGGGACCTCATCAAGATAAAAAGCTTCTGCACGGCAAAGGAAACAATCAACAAAACTAGAAGGCAACCAGTGGAATGGGAGAAGATATTTGCAAATGACATATCAGATAAAAGGTTATTATCCAAAATCTATAAAGAACTTATAAAACTCAACACCCAAAAAAACAAATAATCCAGTGAAGACATGGACAGACACTTTTCCAAAGACATACAGATGGCTAACAGATCCTCAACATCACTCATCATCAGGGAAATACAAATCAAAACTGCAATGAGATACCACCTCCCACCTGCACCTCAAACCTGTCAGAATGGCTAAAACTAACAACTCAGGCAACGACAGATGTTGGGAGGATAAAGAAAAAGAGGAACCCCTTTGCACTGCTGGTGGGAATGCAAACTGGTGCAGCCACTCCGGAAAACAGTATGGAGGTTCCTCAAAAAATTAAAAACAGAACTACTCTATGACCCAGCTATTGTACTACTAGGTATTTATCCAAAGAATACAAGAGTGCTGTTTTGAAGGGGCACATGCACCCCAATGTTTACAGCAGCGCTATTGACAATAGCCAAATTATGGAAACAGCCCAACATCCATTGACTGGTGAATGGATAAAGATGCGGGGTATATATATACAATGCAGTATTACTCAGCAACCAAAAAGAACAAAATCTTCCCATCTGCAACAACATGGACAGAACTAGAGTGTATTATGCTAAGCAAAATAAGTCAGTCAGAGAAAGACAAATATCATATGATTTCACCCATGTGGAACTTAAGAAACAAAACAGATGAACATAGGGAAGGAAAGGAAAAAATAAGATAAAGAAAGGGAGACAAACCATAAGAGACTCTTAAATACAGAGAACAAGTTGAGGGTTGATGGGGGGTGGAGGAGAGGAGGGATGGGCTAAATGGGTGATGGGCATTAAAGGAGGGCTCTTGCTGGGATGAGCACTGGGTGTCGTATATAAGTGATGAATCACTAAGTGCTCCTGAAATAAAAAATTAAAGAGAAATATAGCTCTGAAAGCCAGCAGAGTACAAACTCCTTAACATGTGTCTCTCCATCATTTACATTCCAGAATCTCCCTAAGTATTCCCTAATAGAATAAAAAATATACTTCTTAAATCCCACCAACTTCCCTGATAGGGAAAACTAAAAAAAGGAGACATACACAATTTTTTCTTCTACAAATTTCAGTGAACAAACCTTCCTACCACAAAGTGTTTTTTAAAGCTCTAAGCAAAAAGAATCTTCTACCAAATACAAGAAAAACTCCAGTAACATGGAACAGAGAGGAGAAAATGGTCTGACCTTCTCATCTTATGGATGAGGAAACTGAGGCCCAGAGACTAGAAATTTCCTGAAGCTGTTTGTCCCTGGGGTATCATTATCCTAATACCAATCATTTCTTTTCTGTTGGTTGAAAATTTCTTGGAAACTTCCTGACATGTTGGATATTTTTCCGGTGAGAGCTGAATGACGCTGTCCTTGAATGGCTCACCATTTGTAAATGCTAGTCCTCTGAGGTTTTTCATTTTAGAGTGGGTTTGTGTGTTAAAATAATGCAATCTTCATAAAATGCATCTTGTTTTAGACCTTATTTACCATTCCAAGTTTCCACTCCCTCAGCCTCCCTCATATTTTTTTAATGAAAATAGCATTATCAAACATATAACTTGTCCTAGGATAAGAGTAAGGATAGAGTGATTCCCAAGGTCCCTCTGTCCAGTTTTATGCCTAAGGGAGAGGACCCAAGTAGAGTTTGTGTCCCGATCAGCATACTTCTCCATGAGGCAGAAAATAATTAAATTCATCACCAGACCAACTAAAACATGATCCAATCATCTCCATGTAGACTCCACTGCAACTCCGAATGATGGGGCTGAGGGGGGGAGGGTAAGGCAGCTGGGGGGAAACGCTTAGCTGAGCAGCTATTAAAATAACAAGCCATCTGGGGAGCCCTGGTAGCTCCATGGGTTAAGCGGGGACTTTTGATTTCTGCTCAGGTCACGACCTCACAGTCTGTGAGTTCAAGCCCCACACCAGGATCTGTGCTGGCAGCTCGAAGCCTGCTAGGGATTGTCTCTCCCACTCTCTGCCCCTCCCCACCTCTAAATAAATAATCTTTAAAAAAAAAAAACTTTTTAAAAAGGCAATATCTTCATCTCCACTGTACACGGCTATATACTGCACACAATTTTCACAGTAGCTGATCCTCTTTAGCTTATGAAAAAAGATTAGTTACCTGTCTCAATGGGGGGGAAAAAAACCACCCTAAATTGTAATTTATTCCAACAGAAACAAGGTGTGTCGGTTTCCCGTTCAAAGAGAGGCAGCAGAGGATGCGCAACGCCGCTGCTTTCCGAAATCGTTAACTAAAGCATTTCTCCCGTCCAAGCTGTTCCCAGCAGTGAAGGCTGTTGGAGCCCCCACTGCTGTCCTCACACATTTACAAAGCAGCTCAGCCACCCGAGCAGAAGGTCTCACACTGTTCTAGCCCAGGCGCAGCCCCCTTGTGACGAGCGACAGTGATGGGTTTACACACACAATGCGCCGAACGGGCAAGAGGGGTGCGGTCAGCACGACCGTGGGCGCCTCGGGACGCACGGCAGAGAATACTGCCACAAACCGCCCTCGGAGGACAGCCGCACCAAACAGCCGAATTTGGGGGCTGGGCGCGGTGAGGGAGGGGGTCCCTCCGGGTCCTGAGGAAGCAGGCGACGCCATTCTCTCCGCGCAACGCCTCTCGGAGACCCCTTCCGCGCAGGCGCGTTCGGGAGGAGGACGGCGGGGTGGCGGCGGAGTCGAAGAACAAAAACCTTCCCGGCACCGACTCCTCATCCCTTCCCGATCCTCCTTCATGCCCACTTCGTCGTTTCCTCCCTCAGCGGCCGCCAGGGCGGGGCTTTAATAGCCATCCAGGCCGAGCGCCCGGGATAAGACATCATCTTAGTCCCTACCGTTGGCGACCAGGAGCAGATTCCACTCCTGCGGAGTGTAGAAATAGGCTTTTCTCAGACAGCCGACTCACCTCTTTTGAGCCTTCTCCGCCATGGTTTGGACTCTGTCTCCAGTTGGAGCGGAGATCGACACAGCCGCCTGGGTCCAGCGATGATCTCTACAAGCGATTGGAGCGCCTGGCAGGGTCGGGAGGGGGCGGGGCAGGCCTGCCCGCAGGGGCGGAGCCTCCCGGGGCTAGTGGTTTCGCCACAGCCTGAAAGGGGATGATTGTGCGAGGTGGCCTTGGCGTGGCGCCTGGCGTATATTTAGCGCAGTCCAGGGATGGATAGACTCGGATATGAAACAGCCGTTTAGTCCAATCCTGCACACATCGTGATGACCTCATTATACCCCACCACTCTTTTTCAGTCTGCTTTCCCGTCTCTGCCCCTTAAGATTCCTCCCAGGGCCTGGGCCCTTTCGCGTTCAGTGTGAGCTCAGCTTGTCCTGGGTGTGCTGAACACTCCCAGAAGTACCTTCCTACCTGTTGACTTTTTCGGGTTAATATCTCTAGTTCTGTCGTCTTTACCGAGCTTCACACCTGGTTATTTCACTGCATCCTCCACGTGGATGCCTCAAAGTCGTATCAAACCTAAAACGTCCAGGGCAGAGCTTTGGATTTACCCTCAGTTGTTGCTTTGCTCTCCGCCTCAGTAAAGGGATCCACCGTTCACTTAAAATTGCTCAAGCTAGAAACTCAATAGGCATCTTAGACTTTCCTCACCTCCCCGTATGTAATTCGCATAGAATTCACCGGCAAGACTCTGCCACCTCTCTAATGCAGTCTCAGCAGCCATCTCTCCCAGTGTGTCCCCCATCCCTTCCAAGACCCCCTCATTGAAGCCATTCTCCTGTCGCTAAAATCATCCTTTATTTTTTTTCAATGTTTTAATTTTTGAGACCGAGTAGGAGCAGAGCAGAGGCAGAGGGAGAGGAAGACACACAATCCAAAGCAGGCTCCAGGCTCTGAGTTGTCAGCACGGAGCCCAATGAGGGGCCTATACTCATGAACCTCTGAGATCATGACCTGAGCCAAAATGAGATGCTTAACAGCCACACAGGCTCCTCCACCAACATCGTCTTTTAAAAATTAATCCAATTATTGTACTTCCCATTCTTTTCCATTTTTCTTCCTATCTCCTTTCCGTGACCTACCTCTGGACCAGATCCAGCCCCTGCCTACTTCTTTCTTAATGTTAAGTTTCACTTCCTCTTTCTCTAATCACACTTTCATCCTTTGAAACTGACTCTCTGCCCCAGATCACTTCCACCTGACCCTGCTCTCCACTCTGCCTTCCTCTGATGGTTTAAGTCTCAGATGTCACATCAGTCAGGGTTCAACCATAGAAACAGAACCGCTAGGAGATAGATATTAAGAGGTGTACTGCAAGGAATTGGCTTACACGATTGTGGGGGCTGGCTAGGCAAGTCAGGAGTCTGTAGGGCAGGCTGGAACTCTCAGGCATGAGATGTAGCTGCCGTCTGTAGGTGGAGTATCTTAAGAGAAGCTTCAGCCCTGCTCTTGAAGCCTTTTAAATTGGATCAGGCCCACCCAGATTGTCTAGGATAATCTCCCTTCCTTAAAGTCAACTGGTTATGGACCTCAAGCATATCTATAAAACATCTTCATGACATCACCTAGATTGGTGTTTATTGACTAGCTGGGAACTGTAGCCTAGCCTAGCTAAAGTGATAGAAAAACTAACCATCACACTCAGAGAAACTCTCTCTAACCACCCAATCAGAAATAGGTCATTCTTGCTCTATTGTTGGTTTTCTCCTTGGTATAAGAAGAGGACCCAACCACCCAGGTGCCTGGCTGAGCCCCACCTTGAGGGTAGAGTTTACTTTTTTAAAAAATGCAAAAAAAAAGGGGGGACCCATCAGCAGCTGTAATTGTTTATCTTATTATTTCCCCCAAAGACTAAGTTCTTTGAAAGTAGCCACACAAATTTGTTCCCACTCTTTACTCAGCACTGACCACAGTATCTGATATAATTGATACTAAAAAAAGAAAATTGTTGAATAAATATATGGATGAATTTAGAACATTCTATCGTCCCCAAGCATATAAGCCCTGTTTTCAAGCAATGTCTGTCTAAATTAATTTGAAAGACTTCCATGGCATATGTATTAACCACAGTTCTCCAGAGAAACAGAACCATGGGAGATTACACACATACATACACGCACACATTTATTTTAGGAATTGGCTCACATGATCATGAGGGCTCCCTTCCTTATGCTCACCTCCTTGATCCCCCTTCCCAGCCAGCCAGTTGTCTGTCCATAACTGGAAAATGACATTTTGCTTTAACTTAGTGAAGAAAATATGGCAGTCAGATGACTGGAAAGGCAAATAACGCAGTGTGTAAACTAAATGAGAATTCTGAAAGCAATGTTTTCGTACATTGTTAATATCACACCAAAAACGCATTTTGGTTTCTATGGTGCAGTTCCCTTTATCAGAAAGCCAGCTTTGATGCTGCTTCTCGCCAGTGCTTTTGTTTGCTCTTTATTCACCCAGGCCTTCCTGAGCCATATAAACAGATTAAAGAGAACCTGGTTGAGGTTTTACTTGGGGAAGGAAGGCACCTGTTAAAGACTCTGGGAGGGACAGTATCTTTGTCCCAGTTCACAATGGATTGGCTTCAGCTGTTCTTCCTCCATCCTGTATCACTTTATCAAGGGGCAGCTTTTCCTTTTGCACTTCTGTTTAATTATCTCTGCACTATGGATTCATTTTCCACTTCTGCCAGGTAGGTTTAAAGGCTAATTTTGCTCTTACATCTATGAATACCATAGTAGGTCAAAAAGCATGGGCTGGCCTGAAGACATGAAGATTAAATAATTAATTATATGGGGGCACCTGGGTGGCTTAGTTGGTTAAGTGACTGACTTCGGCTCGGGTCATGATCTCGTGGTTCACGGGTTCAAGCCCCGCATCAGGCTCTGTGCTTTGGAGTGTGTATCTCCCTCCCTCTCTCTGCCCCTACCCTGCTCATGCTCTGTCTCTCTCCGTCTCTCAAAAACTGAATAAGCATTTAAAAAAATGTTAATAAAAATAATTATACGGTTGTTTTTAAGTGATTATCATTACCACTGATTATTGATTGCTCGATCATTGATATCTCTATTAGAGTGAAATGGGACTGGAAATTGACATCATGTTTGCATTGACTCAGTTTGGTAGGTGTACGTTAAATGGGAAAAGGGTGAAAACTCTGGAGAGAGATGGATGTTGAGATAGTACAGGAATTCCCCAAACAGATATACCTATACCCCCACCATATGTCCTATACTCTTGGCCAGTCCTAATTTCATGGAATTTTATCATTTTCAATAAAATTAAATTTTATTAAATATGTAACTGATTTTTTAAATGCCTTTGTATGATTTCTCAGAGAAATCGCATAAGTCAAAACAAATTATGTGAGATTAGCTAGATCTCAATCTGAGATTCAAAAATTATTATTAGAGATTTGGTAACTTGATTACAATGATCTTTGTATAGTTAATAAATCATTACTTTTTTTATTTGAAAGAGAGCACAAGCAGGGGAGAGGGGCAGAGAGAGAAGGAATCTCAAGCAGGCTCCATGCTCAGAGCAAAGGTTGATGTGGGGCTCTATCCACAACCCTGGGATCATGACCTGAGCCAAAACAAAGAGTCAGACTCTCAACCAACTGAGCCACCCAGGCACCCCTGTATAGTTAATAAATTATAGACATTAAAGACAGCCCCCGTTTTTAAAGAAGTTTGTGGAATATCCTCATGTAACATGAAAATCCATTGCCAGAGGGCTACCTCCTAATGATTCACTTATTTTGGAGATTAAGATTTTTATACACTGGGGACTTTTAATTTAAAATCTAGTTGTATCTAATAATTAGAATTGCTGAGTTTGACTAACCTGTGGTATATTACATGTAGTTCACACGGGTTGATGGCCCTTACCCTCATTTAGGAGATGGGGAGGAGAGGTTGTAAAAAAAGTGTCCTACTGAGAAAGAATCACAAACAATAAAGCAAAACAAGTGCAAAAACAAGGGTTAATTCCCACAGGGTTAAGATTGCTGGCTTTGGGGCACGTGAGTGGCTCAGTAGGTTAGGTGTCCCACTGTTGATTTCAGCTCAGGTCACAATCTCACGGTTTGGTTCATGACTTTGAGGCGACGTGGGGCTCTGGGCTCTGCACTGACAGCATGGAGCTTGCTTGGTATTCTCTCTCTCTGCCACTCCCCAGCTTGTGTGCGCGTGCGTGTGCATGTGTGCTCTCTCTCTCTCTTTCTCTTGCTGCCTCTCTCAAAAATAAATAAACTTAAAAAAAAAATTAGAAAAACTAAAAAAAAGAGAGACTCAGATTGCTGGGTCCAGGTCTCTGCAGAGATTCGGGGTCAGCCTGGCAGGTCCTGGGTCCCTCGCTTCCTGAGTGTCCTGTGTATGTGAATAAATTCTCTCCAAGTTGATCTGTGAAATGAAAATAATAATGCCTATCTCGTAGGGTTATTTTAAGGATTAAACAAAGGCATTTCTTATAAAGAGATTATTATCACAACACCTAGAATAAAGTAAGTACTCAATACGTCATGTAGTCTACATGTACATAGGTAGACATTTGAATGTTTATAAAGTCTCAGGGCAGTTGGCACTTCAGGCTTCTACTTCTGCTGTGCAGGGACTACATGTCCCCTTATTTTTCCATGGCAGTGAAACACAGGAGTGGCCCAGGCCCTGCGTGATAGAGCACCTTACACGGCGGGCACCTGTCAGTACCCCCAAGAAAGACATTCTTACCAGTGCATGTGCGTCACTGAGCCACGATATATACCCTGCGACGGTCAAGAAAATGTAGGCCTCTTTTTTTTAATCTTTTTTTTTTTTAATGCTTATTTAAGTTGAAGGGAGAGGGAGAGAGAATCCCAAGCAGGCTCTGTGCTGTCAGCGCAGAGCCAGACATGGGGCTCAAACTCATGAACCATAAGATCATGACCTGAGCCAAAATCAAGAGTCAGATGCTTAACTGGCTGAGCCACCCAGGTGCTCTGAAAATGTAGGCCTCTGTGATTCAATTTTCCTCTCCCTGACCAGTCAGGACCTATTTTTCACAC